CTGGGAGTTGGAAGTCCACAAGTCTTAAAGTGGCCAAGGTTGGAGACTCCTGGCTTAAAGCGTTGGGTCAACCAACCCACCAAACTCCAGCAACCATAGAGTCTGTTCTCTAGAAAGGCCAGACTGTTCTCTAGAAAGGCCTGGGGAATTCTGGGAGTTGAAGTCCACAAGTCTTAAAGTGGCCAAGGTTGGACACCCCTGCTCTAGGGTATTTCCCAAAGGGTTGTGTTTTTTTCCCCAATAGGCAAGTGGACTTTCTTAGTTTTTTTCTTTGAAAACATTTTGCTTCTCATCTGAGAAGCTTCTTCAGTTCTAACCGAAGGATCCTGAATTCCTCACCCTTCTTTTAGAACTAAGGAAGCTTCTTGGATGAGAAGCGAAACGTTTTCAAGGGGGGAAAAAACAAGGAAGTCCAGTTGCCTCTTGAAAACAGCACCTTTGGGACAACCACGACGTGGAATATGACTGAGAATCTCCACAGACATTTGTTCTAGTCTAGGGGATGTTCTCCGGGCTTCGAATGCCAAGGCGACGCAACTCAAAAAGCGGACGAATCTTTGAGACAATACAGGGTTTTCTCTGAACTCTCCATTTCTATCTCCCCTCTTTAGGTCCTTCGCAAAGCCTCCCAAGCAGGTCCAGACAGTCTGCGAATGTATCCTCATCATGCGTGGCTACAAGGAGCTCAACTGGAAGACGGCCAAAGGGATGATGTCAGAGGCCAACTTCTTGCGTTCCCTCATGGAGATCGACTTCGATTCGATCACACAGACCCAAGTGAAATCCGTCCGAGGTAAATAGACTCAGGTTACACCTCCTTGGAATGGAGCCCAGTGGCCCAGTGTGTTCTTGGGTGAGTGGCTGGGTGGGTCGGTGGGTGGGTTGGATGGATATATGGGTTGGGTTGGGTTGGGTGGATGGGTTGGGTTGGGTTGGGTGGTGGTTGGATGGATGGATGGTTGGGTGGGTTGGATGGATGGATGGGTTGGGTTGGGTGGGTGGGTGGATGGGTGGGTGGGTGGATGTATGGGTTGAGTTGGGTTGGGTTGGGTTGGGTTGGGTTGGGTGGATGGGTTGGGTTGGATAGGGTGGATGGATGGTTGGGTGGGTGGATGGATGGGTCGGTGGGTGGGTTGGATAGATGTTTGGGTTGGGTTGGGTTGGGTGGATAGATGGATGGATGGGTGGGTGGGTGATGGATTATCTGCTGCCAAGTGCTCTCAATTTTTAGCGACCACATAGAGGTTCTCCATGACCTCACCTTCAAGTCTTCCAATGGTTCACCATCACCACTGTCATCCACCTTGCGGCTGACCATCCCCTTCTCTTCTTTCCACCTTTCCCAGCATTAGAACCTTCTTCAAAGAGCTAGGTCTCCACATCTTATGTCCATAGTAAGGACATTTCAACCTGGTCATTTGTTCCACGAGAGACAACCCTGGGTTGACTTTTTGGGTGATCCGTTAGTTTGTTTTCTTGGCTGTCCACAGTCTTCTCTTGAGTATTACCCAAAGTTCAAAAGCATCAATGCTCTTCCTGCTCTACTTCTTCCAAGTCCAACTTTTTTCAATCCCATTGTAACTTTGAATGGTCACTAAACGAACTGTTGTAAGTCGAATACTTCCCGTAGGTGGCCAGGACCCTAATGAGAGATATTTCCCTCCTGGAAGGGTTGCTGAAGACTTTAAACACAACCTTTGAGGAAATGGAAGTGGTCAGCCGGGCTGGCTTGGGGATGCTGAAGTTTGTGGACGCTGTCATGAGTTACTGTGATGTGGCCAAAGACGTCAAACCCAAGAGAGAAAAGGTACCATAGAAAGAAAAGATGGAGAGGAGGAGGAAGATCCGGCCGGTTCTCCTCTGAAAACTCTTGCTGGAGGCTTCATCTGGGTTGTGGCTGGTTTCTAGAAGCGCTTTCCCACCTTGAAGGCCTCCAGCCTTGGCCCCTGCTGAGCTTTCTCCTCCTCCTTCATCGCAGGTGGCCAGACTGGAACGGAATTTCTTCTTGAGCAAACGGGAACTGGAGAAGATCCAGGCGGAGCTGTTGGCCATCCAGAACGAGCTGAAAGCCCTGGGAAACAAGTACGAGGCAGCCATCAGGGAGAAGCAGCAGCTCCAGGAGGAAGCGGAGCTCATGGAACGCCGGCTGATTGCCGCAGACAAGCTGATCTCCGGCTTGGGATCGGAAAATATCAGGCAAGGGATATGCCCCATTTAGTAGGCTCGAGTTGCAGGGGAAATGAAGGGATCTAGGGGATAAAGGTTTTAGTTCCAGGTGTGTCCAAGCAGGACTTCAATCTTCAAAGATGACTTTCAAGTCAACATTGGACGACAGCCTCATCCTGGCCAGTCCCCTGTTCCAGGGGTCTCCAACCTTGGCAACTTTAAGACTTGTGGACTTCCAACTCCCAGAATTCCTCAGCCAGC